TTTATTGTGGCTCCCTCCACTCCCTCCAAGATCATCAAAGTTCATTCTAAACACATTAAAAGTAGTAAATGTTGATTGTTCTTCTTTTTTTCGTTTATGAAGAATTGTGATTTTTTGAGGTGTGTTAGAAAAAATGAGAAATGAGAAATATAAGAATTGTGATTTTTCTGAGGTGTAATATCAAGAAAGACACTGCAGAGGTATCAATCTTCACTCGATTTGAAATTAGTGTGTGATTTTTTCCACATTTTAGAAATGAGAAATATAAGAATTGTGATTTTTTTGAGGTGTGTTAGAAAAAATGTGATGCAATCTATTTATAGAAAAAGTTGGTATAAAATTGAATGGTTGAGATTTGAGTCAATTCTTAATCAATGGGTAGAATTGTTTTCACAAGGATTGTATTTTCTTGCAAGCACAATTCACATGGATTGTGAATGAACGGCTGAGATCGAAAGATTCATTTCTTTATCAATGGGTAGAATTGTTTTCACATGGATTGTGTTTTCTTGCAAGCACAATTCACATGGATTGTGAATGAACGGTTGAGATCGAAATATTCCTTTCTTTATCAATGGTTGTAATCCAATTCACATGGATTGTGAATGAATGACTGAGATCGAAAGATCCATTTCTTTATCAATGGTTGCAATCCAATTCACATGGATTGTGTTTTCTAAAAGAACATGCATTATGGTTATAAATACCAACATATGCTCTAACCATTTCATCACTTCCAAACTAATTTGCTTATTATCATAATTGTCTCTCAGTTAAAAAATGAATTATGATTATTGTTCTTCTTCTTCTCCTCCTTCAAAATCACCCAATAATATGTTAAAATCCATAATAGATGAGTGCGATAGAGAGCATCAAATAATTATTGATCACATAGAAAGTGGTTGTCGTCTTATGCTAGGTGAAGACCTATGCACTAGACATACTCATGGGGGCTCAGTTCCAGGTCGAAGAACAATCTTTCGTGATCGAGAAGTAGCAACAGCCAACCTCTTCAACGACTATTTTTCAGAAAATCCAACATATAATGAAGAGCAATTTCGTCAACGCTATCGAATGTTGCGAAATTTATTCTTACGCATTGTTGCTATTGTCAAAGATCATGATCTTTATTTTCTGCAACGAAGGGATGCAGTTGGGAAAGTGGGCTTGTCTACTTTACAAAAAATAACAGCTACATTTCGCATACTAGCATATGCAACTCCGACAGATGCAACTGACGAGTACATCAAAATTGAAGAGTCTACAACAATTGAATGTGTCAAGAGATTTTGTCGTGTTGTTCGAGAGGTATTTTGAGAACAATATTTAAGATCACCCACTGCTGATGATGTTGCTAGATTACTTTATATTGGTCAGCAACGTGGTTTTCCAGGAATGTTAGGAAGTCTCGATTGCATGCACTTGATATGGAAAAATTGTCCAACAGCTTGGGCGGGATAATATGTCGGCCGAAGTGGATCTCCAATAATTATTTTTGAAGCTGTAGTTGATTATGATTTGTGGTTATGATATGCATATTTTGGGATGGCAGGGGCCAACAATGATATTAATGTGTTGGAGACGTCTAACATTTTCTCTAACCTTGCTAGAGGTATTGCTCCTCCTGCACATTATGTCATTTGTGGAAAAGAGTACATTATGAGATATTATCTAGTTGATGATATATACCCCAAATGGGCGACTCTTGTGTAAACTATCCATGATCCAATTGGTCCCAAAAAGAAATATTTTGTAACAAAACAAGAAGCATGTCGAAAGGATGTCGAACATGCATTTGGAGTTATTCAAAGTCGATTTGCAATTATGGCAAATACAACACGTTTTTGGAGCAAAAATGATTTGAAAGATATTATGACTGCTTGCATAATAATGCATAATATGATAATCGAGGATGAACGAGATCTTAATTCTCCAATTGTAGAATGAAGAGATGTGCCGCCTCCGAATGTCGAATTTATTGAAGATGAGGAGACTCAATTTCAAGAATCTCTTATCCGATTTAGACAAATCAAAGATGCAACTGCTCATTTTACTCTACGAAATGCACTAATTGAGCATTTGTGGAATGAATATTCTAATTCGGAGAATTAAAATATATAATTATGTAACTTATGTTTTTTCGCATTATTATTATGAATTGTAATTTTCTTATTTATTTGTATTTTCATAATGTTATTTATGAATGTTTTATTTATGCTTTTTATCTTGATATTTATTAGAAATGTATATGTTTTATTTTATATTTGCAAAATCAATATTATAATAGTTAAATATTGTGAATAAAGTAGAGTTAGTGGTAATGTAGAGATAGTGCCAGAGATGAATTATTGTTTCATCTTTAGAGTATAGATAGAGATGTTGTAGAGTAGAGATGAGGGTTGGAGATGGACTAAGTTGACAACTTAACTGATACTGATTACTCGTTTTCTCAAATGAAAATCTATTCAAAATTACATCTAATATGTATTCTTAAAATTGGGATATCGTTGAACCTTAGGGCTGTAATGATAGGATACCTTGGGGACGGTTCAAAATACAATATGAGAAAAGATGAGAGTTAAGCTGTTGAAGAGGGCCCCCTTTAGGTCTTTTTCTTATTCTGCAACCTTTGCAGCCTCTTCCGCTTGAGGTAGATTTGGTATGATATCCCTGAGAGAACCACTAGTACACAATCTCATTGTTATGGAGAAAGTGGATTGCCACTCAGCAGAGAAGACACCACGATGCTGACAAATTTGCGACAGGTGATAATGATTGTGTTAGCCAAGGAGCCAAATCGACTTATGGTTAGCGAGATGAAATTTTGGCCGACTGCACCACAGAGGCAGTAGAGGAGTGCGGCTGTAGAGAAGAGGGAGGTGTGTGGCGTAAGAAGATAGGGTTGGGGAAGAAAACATATTAAAAAAAGGGGTAAATTAAATTTTTGTCCCTAAATTATTTAAGGTTTGCAAAAATGTTCATTATCAGTATTTTTATCTAAAGTTTAGGGGTTAAAGTAAAAATTAAACCATTTTACTAGCATGCCACATCATCAAACTAACGGAAGTTAACGTTTCATTGACAACATCTTAATTAACACAAAACAAAAGTGACCACAAATTAACTTTCTTGAATCAAGTGACCATACGTTTAAAAAAATGAAACAAAATTGATCAACTCTGTAGTTTACCTAATCAATATAATTTTAATTTTAATTTTAATTTGGATAGTGATATATAGTGGAAGTAAATTTATTTATATAAATACTAAAAGTACACTAATAAATTTTAATAATTTGAAGTACAACAATAAAATGCAATATTAAATTATGGTAAATTTGTACCCACCTTTAAGTCGTTATTGATGAGAAAATCACCAAAAATAAAAGTAAAAAAAAAAGTTGGTGAAGAAGAATGAAGAAGCATGCCAAGTGATGGGCTGTTGATTGAAGTTTCTCATATGAATCCATAATGGCTCCTCACTTTTGTAGTTTTGTTGATCCAATCCCTCTTGATTGAGACCAACACCACCACACTCCCAATTAAAAGTAAATAAAGAGCCACCCAAACTAAGACTCTATACGGTTCGGTTCGATTTAGTTCGATATTGTATTTGAATAGAGATACTATTAGTTATTAATATATCGTTGTTATTATATTTATTTTTATGTTAGAATTGATGATATTTATCTTTCACCCCATTGATTTGTTTAAATATTTTTATTTTTTAAATTATTCTATTGATTTTTAACATTTTCTATATGAAATTATTTTCTTTATTCAGTGATTATTGTATATTCTTCAATGATAACTTATTCTCTATACAACATGATGAAACTCACTTTTATAAAGGAATCAAAATTACTAAGTTGGTAAAACATCAATTTTATTTTATTTTCAAAATAGTAACTATTTTTATATATTTTTTAAATTAACTAATTAACTTGAAATTTCAACAATTTTCCAATAAAGGGGGAAAAAGAACCCATAAAGGAAAAAGATATATTAGAAAAGAAAGAATGTAAATTATATGTGTAACAATTAAGTTGGATGGTGTAGAATGAGCAACAGCTAATATGTCCTTGAGACAAGGCCATGTTCTAAACAGGTTATTTCCATGGACCACCCATGCAACTTAGTTAAAACCTATTTCACCTACAATTTTCCATTACACCTCTCATCCTTTATCGAATTCGAATTCTATTTAATTTAATCCGGTAATAAAAACTTATTTATAACTACAATGGTAGGGAGGTCGACAAAATGGTTGTCCCTTGTTCCCATATGTAATGGGATAAGAGGAGGTAAGATAGTAGATTGCCCCCAATACTAAGTTAAGAGCAGCTTTCGTAGGAGACCTCTGAATTATGAAATGTCCTCCATGAGACTCGATCCCACGACCTCAAGGTTAAAAACCTTGTGCTTTACCAATTGAGCTGGATGATCATTTCTTAAAAATAATTTATTTATTATAATTTTAATGAAATTTAAACTTTCAACCTGTTAATTTTATATTAAATAATATCCCTCTAAGTCACTATATATATATATATATGTGAATGCAAAGTTGTACTAGGATTGTCAATTTTTTTTTATAAAAAATATTTTTAACGATTAGGTGCAAGTAATTTAAGGTTCCAATAATTTGTAGATCATTGGTCGTCTGATAAAGTGTATTTAAAGTTTTTCTTTTTTCCCCCACTTTTGGCACATGGTAAAGCATTTTGTTTTGGATGGATTTTTTAAATAAAATTTATAAATTTTGAATCAAATTAAATTAAATATATTATTTTAAATTTATGTTTAAATTTAAATTTAATTATTTATAATATTATGATATTATTCGACTTTAATTTGATTTTTTGATTATTCAAATTTTACATATTCAAATTTTACTCACGCAAAATCCGGAAAAAAAAAGTTTTGAGTTAAAGAACTAAAAATTAAAAAAAAATCCATTTTTGAGTCGGCTAAAATTCTTAAAAGTTGAAAACTCAAATCTTGCAAAAGAAAAGGTAAAGTTTTTAATTTAGAAACTCCAGATCTTGTAATGGGAGATGGGGGGATTTGTTCATATATTCAACAGCTGGGCACTGTTTCAAGGACAAAATACAATGAACAAAAATGATCTTTTCAGCACAATGTTCGTCCTGGTTCCGCTTTTTCCTGCGGCGATTTCAATGAGTCGAGACAACCCCTTCAGCCTTTCTCCACAATCCATCAACCATATAAGCATCATCAACCCGAAGAAGAACAAGTTTCTGCAGTTTCGTCTTCACTGAAACTAGATGGTACATCCATGGTAGATCTAGATGACATAACACAGTTCAGAGATCTTGACGAGTATATGCTAATAAATGGACAGATAGAGAGGGAGAGAGGTAATATATCTATAACATACTGACCTTTTAGTCAGATTTGTCAACAGAGGCGATCTGGCATGTGATGCATTTGAAACGACATCTTGCTGCGGAAATTCGACATTGACTTGCTTGGCAACCTTTGGAATACGAAAGAGAGGTGTCAAAAGCAATACATGAGTGCATGATACGGCCGAAAACCGACTAAAGGTTGAACTTACTCTTGATTCATTTGTTGGATCAGTTTTTACTCGTACAGGGTACTCATTTTTCGGCTTCTGCTTTCCGCCAAGTTTCTCCGCCTGCATGTATGTACCCAAAACAAAAAATAGAGCCAAAACATTAACCACGGAAACCATTGAAGGTATTTTTGAAGGATAAAGCATGTGAGAAGAAATACCTTCACCATCCTTGCAGATGGCTTAGACAGGTTTTCTTTCTTCAGGGCCTTATAATATGTATGATTATCATCGTCATGCAAACAAGGCTTTTCTCGTTCATCATCAATTTTTCCACCATTGGGGTCGGGATTGTTAGAGAAAGAATATGGCCTCGTCCTTTTGACTGCAAGTTTAGTGTTCATCCTACTTCGTTTACTATCAATGACACCATCTTTTTCGGCAGAACCATTGTGGATATCCAATGAAGAGTTCTGGCCCGGGAATGAGTTAGAAGAAAGCAAAGAATTGTATTTTAATTGCTGACGAGATTTCTTGTTTTGTCTTTCAAACCCATGCGCGGTTTTGAAGGTTGAATTCTCCATGTAAGAATCATGTGAACTCAACATGGAATTACGTACTTCATCTACCTACAAGGAAACGAAAAAGAAAATAGACATATCATAAGGTGATCACTTCGAATAAGTTATTCTTAAAATGAAAGATGATATCCAGCTTGTTAAACATGATTTTCCATCATAACTAATGTCATTATGTGTCAATATAGGAATAATTACGTGACTTTCATGTATCCAAGTATATCTGAGTATAACAGAGTGCTCCAAGAAGCAACATGGGACCAAAGCTTTCAAGCTGCTATGTAAAAAGCTAGAGCTGGAACCCGTTGTTTTGCTTTCCAACTAAAAGCTCCATTTACAGGTAGATCCAAAAATTTCTCGGCGAGGATAGAGGATCATTCTACCTCCCGGAGGAGAATTTATCATTTATTTCCCGACATTGAATAGTGGGGCTGGAGAAAGTTGCTTAAAACCTGAACAACAGACCTTTTGCCCCGCTTTAAACCCTGTAAATACTGGCAGTATCTGACACATATGCTAATAGCATAATACCCACGCACAAAACTCTACTATTAAAGATAATAACCTGAATTTAGCAATCTCTAAACAGGACTGGAATATGGCACCTTAGAAAGACTTGAACGTCATTATTATTTCGTGTACCGATTGTACATGTACAAACTAACTCATCCTAGTTTTCAACACTATTTAGCAGGGTCATATTATTTCTGCTAAGTATATTAAAACATGGGAAAAGTGACTCCAAGAGTCCACTTACAAAGTTAAGATCCGGCTGCTTTATAACTCCAGAGATATGAGATGAATGGGGCTGTTGGGGATCTCCAACATCAACCGGTTCTGCTGAAGCAAACACACGAGATTCAAATATTTCATGACTAAAGAGATACATGATCAGCTTTAAGCATAATGACTACAATGGAAGAACAGCAGTAAGAGTGTTCGGCTGATAGAACCAGGACAAGAGGTGTAGAGGTAATTAGGTCAGGAGACACAAAGGATGACATGGAAAGGCATAATGACAAGACTAGGAATATATATATATATCCTACTGGCGCTGTATCGGTTGCAGTTGGATCAAGAAGGCCTTTAGAGTGTTTTAGTTAAAGGTTAAGGAATATCTCTATTAAAAAGGTTTATCTATTCCTTTCTAATTGTTCTACTTGTAAGAGACTATTTAAAACAAGAAAATGGATACACATTAGCCTAGACTAGGAGCACAGAGAAAGGTAGCTAGAACACAAAAAGTAGAGCATGAAGAATTCCAAGCATTTGGACTGAACTGACTTAATCAGGCAGTTCTTATGGTTTAACTTATCTTGATCTTACTTTGAGTTAAGGCCTAGGATCCTTTAATAAGGAGTGATAAACTGCATATGTTTTCAAAGCGCTATGCTTCCATAGGTTAAACGCATAAAAGACAGAAGAAATACACTAAATGCAATAATTACTTCCCAAGTTCAAAAGGTAATTAATGTTTACTAGACCAAAAAAGTACCAAATAATATATAAAATGGCAAAAAAACACAAATTAAGTTCCCGTTTTATCAGAAATAATATTCATGATTCTATAAAAATTGACAATGTAGCAAACAGATTTTGGTATTGGACTCACCACTGACAGGCTTGCTATTTGGGAATTCAAAGGCGCCATTAAGTGGTGGATCAAACTCAATACCAAGTAGTGGACCATCTTCTAGATAAAACCTCCCCAGCTGCCTCTTAACTGCAGTAATAGAAGGGTTTTCACTTTCACCCTTAAGCTTCAAATATCCTGATGGCTTATAAACCTTGCTTTTAGCCATCCTTGTGTTTGCGTCTATTGGTAAAGTTGCTCCATTTTGTCTAAGTTGTACAGAAGTTGGCATGTCATGAGGATCCCGACTTTCAGAAAAACGCATATCTTGTAAAGGTGAGCTACTTTCAGAAGATGTATCTTCCATATGAGCATCATATGGATTTTGATGACTCCTACGGTCAGCTAGAAACTCTTGGCTAGAAATCCTTCCACTTTCAACCTCCCTCGGATCAATATTCCTATAATCCCGCTCCTTAATGCTTCCAGACGAATCTTGCCTGAGTCCACTACCACGATCCCGAATAACACCACTGGAATGATCCACTCGCTCATTAGCATGTTCGTCTCTCCTTTTGTCTTTTAACCTTCTGTGACAAAACCAACTAGATATCTGCTTTTCTGTCAACCCTACCTGAAGTGCTATTTGTGATTTCATTTCATCTGAAGGAAATCTGAGCTCTGGAAAACACCCAAAACTACGTTTGAAACATAGCAAACGAAGCGAATAAGATGAGAAGTGAAGAACTGGTTACCTTTGTAGAATTTTTCCAGAGCCATAACCTGGTCTGGTGTCTTGACTGTTCTTTTCTTATTGACATCTAGAGAAACTTTATTCTCTTCAGTCTGAATTTCACCTGAATCTAAAACAATCGCATGGAAGAAACAAATGTATTATATTTGATAAAATTAACCATGAAACAGATAAAGAATGGTTTGAAATTTGTTACTTTCGTGCTATGCGACATAATGGAAAACAGAGCCATCATTATGACGGATTAATTACTATCATATGAGATGTATGATACGTATCAGCCATCCACATAAATTAGAATAAAAACGAGAGAGGGAAACTCAGACTAACAAACAGTAAAACAAAAACCTCATGATTACTTGGAGCCAGATGAACAATTTCACTATATTCCTTCAGCAATTTTGAACACCTTTACATTTGTCGGATTATACTGGTTATGACACTTTATATAATAAAAAATTCTGCTGTCATCCAACCACAAATATAAAAAAGAAAGAAAAATATATATCTTCATTTCCAGATTCTTTCATATCACTAATATAGCTCCCTACAATTTAACAAATGGAAAATAATATGACTAAGCCTCCAACCAAACTTGCCTCCCTAGCCCATTAGCAAATTCACGTATGCTAGCTCATTAGCAATTGCCTCCGTAACCCATTAGCAAACTTTTCCTTTATCAATAGACCTCTTGCAATCCTCATCCCATTTTCCCAAGAAACTGATCTTTAAAAACCCTTTGGTTTCAGTTCAAGTGAGCCAAATGCACAAGTTCATGGATCACTGAAGTATATAAAATAACTCAAATCCGTCAGCAGAACATAATCAACATATTAACATAAATTTCAGACTTGAAATTCAAGTCCATGCAAGGACCCAAAGATATAGCTTTATGCAGATTACTCTCAACACCTAGAACAGATTCAAAGAAGATCCATCCATTTATACATCACCTATCCATGCAAAAGTACTCTTGAGGTTTATGATAAAACGACACTTCCAACTTGCAGTTCTAACAACATTCTAAAGGAAACATGCAACGATTAGACACGAATTATCGTGGCACAAATAACTTATTACATAAACAAAGCTTCCACTGATGAATTTTGCGTGGTTCAAACTTCCAAGTGATGAAACAACGTTAAATCATAAGAAATTAGGCTTACAGCAACATTCTAAAGGAAACATGCAACAATCAGACGAATATATAAAGCACAAATGACTAATTACATGAACAAAATTTTGTATTTTTCCATGTGATGAAACAACATTAAATCATAGCAAATCAGGCTTGACTTAGCAGTTGTTTCAAAGGTCGAATGCTGGATCTCCCCTCCCCCAGTTTGGAAGTCTCTCTAATGTGCCGAAAACAAAATTAAACAATTCGTAAATAAATAGATAAATCGAAGCAAATAAAGACTTTTATAATGCATTTTCTAATGAATCAAACACCCAACAAAATCACAAACGCTGCTTATTGACCTGAAATTCCCCAATGCATGCAAGTTTCCTTTACAGTTTCCAGTAAGCAGAAACCAAACGTTAAACAGCCTAAAATTACAACATTTTCAAATGACAAAAACTCTAAACAAAATTTAGAACCCAAATCTCAAAACTTTGATCTGAGATCAAGAACTACCTTCCATAGTGAAAGCGACTATTTTTTCCCTGGGTATCCTTCGTTTTTGTCCTTCAGTTCCAGTGATCCACCACTTCAGCCACTGCAAAATCTGGGTCTTCGATTCTACAAAGCTCGTTTTACAATTCTACCTTTGTTTTAAACATTACGTTTACGTTTCAAGAGGTGGAGAGAGAGAGAGAGAGAGAGAGAGAGAGAGAGAGAGAGAGAGAGAGAGAGAAGGATTCTGAATGAAGAGTGGAAAGACAAAAAAGAAAGGGGAAATTGTTTGTTGTTGGTTTTGGTGGTTTCTCCCCCCTTATTTTTCCTCCTGTTCCTTCCATTTTGATTCGATTAAAAGGATTCAACGGTTGTGGTTTTGTTTTGGTTTTGGATTTAATCAAAACCCAGATTTGGGTTTCGGCTGTTTTTGCATTTTGTGATCTGTCTATCCTTTTTTTAGGCACCATTTCCTTCTTGCCCAGAAAATATAAAAATCAACTATGGTTTTTGCTCACTACATGCACTTGCGCGGCAAAACATTAAACATCCAGATTAGGTAGGATAAAATATTCAAATTTGATGAGTTTTTATCCTATTTAATTATATATCAAGTTAGCCTTTTTTTTAACAAAAATAAAATTTGAAATTAATTTTATTCTTGTCTCAATTTGAATAATTATTGTAATATAATTTTATATAATATTTTTCATATATTTTCAGTTATTTCAATCTTATCGAATAAAAATAAAAAATTATCTGTATTAGATTGAAAATACTTTTATTAAAATCTAGGATTAATAAAATATCATTAGATATGGAGACGAATCAGAACTAAATAATATTTTTTAAATTTTTGAATAAAAATTAATTCAATCAAAGAAATCGATCCCAATAATTTTACGTCACTGTTCATCCCTAATCAAGATCACATAAAATCCCTTGTATTTTGAAATCGGGACCAAAGCGTTCAAAAAGTCTATAACTTTTAAAGAAATAACACTATGAATCGTACGACCATCATAGTCTCTACCGACCACGACAATAACTTGTTCAAAATGACTTGAGACACAAACGAACATTACAAACGATCATTCTTACATTGGGTTTGAACGAGAAAATCAACAGTTCGAGTGACGGCACTTGGAGTCGGCATTGGCGTTATCCCGCTTCTTACTGCGGCTGTTCGCCTCCACAGAATGTGGAGGATTCTGATTTGTTGAATAACAATGGTCGTAGTAAACTCAGCGGGATGCAGCTATGGCAGACTCAGTATCCTTGTACTTCCTACTCGTTATCTTAAGAAACCATCTTCCCTCCCTGATAACAATAACTCCTCCATGAATCTGATACTAACCGCCGCCGCCAGCGATGGCACGATGGGAGGAGGGAGTGGTGATTCAAGTCCTAGCTCGTGGACAAAGTGTCAGGATTGTGGCTTAAGAAAAATTGTTCCCATAGGACATGTAGAACGTGTTGTAAAAGTCGGGGTTTTGATTGCTCTACTCACGTGAAGAGCACATGGGTACCGACTGCTCAGTGAAGAGAACGTCAGCTCACGACGGCGGCTGTTACGACTGTCGGAGCCGGCTCATCGAGGGGCTAAGATGCCGAGACTTGTAACATCTCAAACTACTACTACTACTCATACATCAACTTCGAATACTACTCCTAGAAACTTTGACACAAGCTCGAGTCACCAAGGTTCTTTTTTATGGTGAATCTTTTGTATATGTATGCATATTTTCATATAATTTAATTAATTTTTTAATGTTTTTATTGGTGATCTAATTTCGATATAGAATTTTGTATTCGTTTATGTCGATGCCAATTTTAAAGAATCATTACCAGGGTAGATATGCACACCGACAGTGTTCAAAAGCATACGAGTGATGAAGATGGGGGACCGTGAGGACCAGTTCGCTTATCATGCAATTATTAAAGATTAGAGGACGTGTGTTCAAAGGGTTTCTTTATGACCAAAGAGTTGAAGGAAGATATGGGTTCACGAATATATCCGAATTGCATTTAGGTGAGGGGGTGGAGATGATGATAGAAATGTGAAGTCGTCTTCATCTCCGGTTTTTGATCCATCAGAAGCTTATCCTCGGTGGTTCGTGGTATGATAATCCGAGTTTATCTCTTTAAGTTTGAACTCTTATCATTCAATGAGTTTGTTTTTTTATTCTTATTAAAATCAAGATCAAATCAAATATATATATTAATTAGGAATGATAATATATATTAAAATTATAAAATTAGATTAAATTTATGAATTATTCAATCGAATAACATTTACACGTACAATAAAATTATAGATGCAAATAATGATATTTACATGGCCAATCATGGTTTTAAAAGCCCTATTGATTCGTTTTCCCCTACAGATGGCAAATGAGTGGAAAATCCGGACAGAATCATGCTTTAATGCAGCAGTTAATGTAAGTCAAGATCTTCTTTCTCTTCTGCATTCCAACACATTTGGCAGACATTACAAATCACAATTTGGGGGGGGGGTTAAAAAAATTAATAACTTTGTTCTGCTACTGTCAAAGTTCATTTCTTAATCGGATTAAAATAACATTCAAAGCATAGTTGTTGTAGCAAAGTTAATGGACAAGAGAAATCTTACCGACACATGATCATCCTTGTCTTGTCGACAAGGCGGTTGACAAGGCAATGGTTGATGAGGTAATAAAGCAGCGACGAATTCGGGATCTATCCGATCCCACCCTCCGAAATCGGAAACGATCTCCCATGCATTCTTCTGTTAATATCAAAACAGTCAGAATATGTTCTGTTGTCATCCCTACTCGAAATGTTGTTACAGTACATATGAAATCAGAGATCTTACAGCCACCGTGGTATCTTGGTTATCGTCTTGTCGAGGAGGCTGCAAAGGATGCAATGATGCGGCCATAAAATCCCAGTCGTTTCCTAGGCTAAGCCGAACATCGGCCTTTTGTTGCTTCCTGGTTGCTCGAGCTTGCGAGAATTCCATTGTGTAGTTTATAGATCCAGGGGCTTTTCGATCCCACACTCCGAATTTGGGAACCGGCGTCCCTCTTTTGCTCTGTCAATTCATTCATTGTTTAGCTATACTTGCATACAAACGTACACACATGTATGTCAACTAGACATGTAAGGTTGATTTTGGGTCGGATCAATCTGATTCAAGTAAGTCGAAATCTTACCGCAATGGGATCGTCGTCGTCGTCTTGTCGAAGAGACAATTGATGAGGCTCTGAAGCAGCGACCTCAAACTCCAGCTCGTTTCCTAGGCTACCGCTAACAATGGTCTTTTGTTGCTTCCTGTTGACCCGACCTTGGGACATAGGCATCGAATTATCGGTTTCTCCAACGGCTTTCTCGTCACTCCCTCCGAGCTCAAGAACAGAAATCTTTGCATTGTTCTGTCCAATTAAATGACGTGACATCAATTGCTTAAAAAACTTGAACAGTTGTATATAACTTTATTATAATAATACGACAACGGTAGAACACTAAGATTTAACGAAGAATCTGACATATTCTTGGTTGTAAACTTGTAATGTCTTAATGAAGCAGCAGCTAAATCAACTCCATTTCCTAGACTGCGCCAAACATCCTTTTGTTCCTTCCTGTTGGCTCGAGCTTGTGAGAAAAGAAAACCCTCGAGTAGCTGGTACATGCTTCATCTTTACGATCCCACCCTCCAAACTTAGGTACCGAAGTCCATTTATTCGTCTGTCAATTTTAAAACGTCATAATCGATCATTACAAATTAAGATTTGAGCCGAACTTCACTGTTCGGTTCAAATCTCACCTTACCATAAAACAGTGAAAAAGATGGATTATTACCTCTGTTGGATTGGCCATGGATGGTTAGTGGGGATGATTAATTATCAAATCAGGGAATTGAAGTTTCCCAACCCAGTTAAATTAAAAGATTTTTCAGTCATTTTGTAATTGTTGTATAGAAGATCAAAGTCATTTGTTGATTCATTGTGATGTCTCGTGGCATGTATGGCAACGATGGTGCAAGGTATGGGATGCCAATATTGTGTTTCCTAGAAATGTTAATGAGCTAATTATAATCTGGTTTTCTCAGAATGTTAGAAGGAAAAATCTGTTGTTATGGCAAATCGGATTCTTTGGGTTGATTTGAACTAATGGCTTAGTTAGAAATAAATCTAGGTTCGAGGGCAAATTATTTTCAGTAGATCAGATCTTCTATTCAGTTCTGTTGCAGATAGGAATTTGGATGCACTTCTTGTGGCCAGTGAAATTTCCATGCGTACAGGATTTTGTTTGTTGTCCAGGTTCCTTTCTTTTTGTCTGATGACAGTGTTGGTTTTACCTCTGTGTTTGTTATACTGCTTATATATGGCGTTGTTATGCTGGTTTTCATTGGAGTTAATTGCAGCCGGTTTCATACTTCGTTGTAGTCTTCTGCTAGTTAGTGTAGACAGCTTTGTTAAGGGATTTGTATATTAAGCTGTATCTCGTTAGCTTTAACAGAATTTATTTTGATGATCGGGTTGGGGTATTTGTTTGATTGCTGTTCGACTTTAATCACCACCCTATGACACACTCTTTTTCCTCCAAATAGGTTAGGGAGGTTTTTAATGAGATTCTTGGGGTGGTGTACTTTGTACCCTTATTTATACAAAGTACATCTCTTTCAAAAAAAAAAGTCATAAATTAGAGGCAATTAATAACATAAATCATCTGTGTGAGTGGAAGCCTAAATTAAGTTAATATTTGACCAACAAATTCAAAAAAAGAACAAACTCCAAATCTGATGATAAAATTGAGAATATAAATCTAGATTTTGTTGCATTTTGGGTTTCTTTAGAAAATAATGAGTTAGGTTTTAAGATATCGTTATTGTTGTAGATATTTCTAGATTTGTCCAAGAATTGAAAATTAGTTTTATAATCTTTATTTACAACAAAATTTTAAGTTTGAGTCTTGTGCAGAAAAAAAAATAATGAAATAAATTAATAAATATTTTTCAAACTTCTTTGTGATTATGAAACATAAGATTTTTATATCAATAAATGTAATGAAATGATAAATTATTAATAGGTACTATATTATTTAAACTTTAGATTATTTATCGATTTTAGCATCCAACTTTAAAAATTTAAATTTTGACATTGAACTTAATTTTTATTTGAATTAGGGCACCAAGTTATTCAATTGTTCACGGTATGAGAATGTGATTGTTTCTTCCTCAGTTTTTGT